TTCCTTACTGTCGTCCATGATGGACTAGTAAGGCACCCCGATCCTCACCTATTACAAGCTACGAACGGAAAGGGTTCAATTCGAGTGAAAGTATTTCGCTTGCCATTGCGGAGGTTATCACCTCACGAGAGCATCGGTACTTTACTTCCTCCTATAAAGGACGGAGCCCGGGTATAGAGCTCATGTATGAGATGCATCGTGCCATTGTGTGCAAATATATCCTAATTCATTGACAGTAATATATATAAAAAATAAAACATAAGAGGCATAGTAAGAAAGAAATGTGTGAATTTTTTTTTTTTTTTTGATTTGTTTTTTTTTTTTTTTTTTTTGTTTTTTTTTTTTACTAAAAATGAAAAATAAAAATTTAAGAAATTGATTAAGACTTTTAAATCAAAATTTAAGGATAACAAGTAGTTAATTTTGGCCTGACTCTCGAAAACAAAAGGCTTCCCCAGTGGAGTCGCCAAGCTGTCGTAACGGTTTTGTGTCCGCCCGACGAATTTGGAAACGAAATAAAAAAAACGGAGTCGCCACCAATTTTTTTGGCTAGGTGCGATTGGCCACCTATTAAAACATATCCTTTTAATGAAATCTTAAAATTAATTAAAATTTATTAAAAAGATAATTTTACGGTCTGCGAAACAGTCTGGTTCGGGAGTCGGTTACGTGTGGGAAGGATTAGCACCCCCACAACGCCCGTTAAAAACGGTACCAATTAACAACGTGTTATCCTTTGATTTTGATAAAACAGTCTTATTTTCGTTTCGAAAAATAAATTTCTTGATCTTTATTATTTATTAGGAAAAAAATTATTCTTGAGAAAAATAAATCAAAACCTTTTTATTGAAATAATTCTTAAAATGTTTCAGTACGTTGGTAATATTAAAAGAACTCTTTCTCACCTAGAGATTTCTTAAAGCATCTCTACTCGAAATACTTTTAGAATCTCATCTTAGGAGGCTCGAATTTATTTTTCGTAAGAAATTATCATGTTTAAAAAAATTATTCTCGAGAAAAATAAATTAAAACTTTTTTATTGAAATAATTCTTAAAATGTTCCAGTACGTTGGTAACATTAGAAGAACTTTTTCTCACTTAATGATTTCTTAGGCATCGCTTCTCGGAATACCTTAAAATCTTATCTTCGGAGGTCTAAATTTACTTTTCGTAAGAAATTATGTCATGCATGCCATGCAAAATATTTTCATGTTTATGCACACATTTTATTCTCATTCAAAAATTTTATTAATTATTTTATTAATTCTTATTGAATTTTTGAAGAAAAAAGAATTTAATTATATTGAAGATTTTTATAAATATTCCAATACGCTGGTAATATTTTATAAAAAATCTTCTCACCTAGAGATTTCTTAAAGCATCTCTACTCGGAATACTTTTAGAATCCATCATTGGATTAAATTTCTTTTCTTCTTTTTTATTACTTATATTTTTAATATTAATAATTTTTATTTATTATTAAAAAAAGAAAATCTTTACTGTATTGAAAATTTTTTATAAATACTCCAATACGCTGGTAGTATTTAAAAAAATCTTCTCACCTAGAGATTTCGTAGGCATCACTACTCGGAATACCTTTGAATCTCATCGTCGGATAAAAATTTCTTTTCTTTCATTTTTTATACTTTAGTATATTATTAAATTTATTTTTATTTATTGTTTTTAAAGTTTATTCTAAAAATTAACATAATTATAAAAAAAATTTAACCACAATTTCATCAATTAGTCAACAAATATAATATTTTAATATGCATAAATATTAATAAAATAATATATAAAAAAAATTCAAAAAAAAATTTTTTTTTTACCTAAACCGGACCGGTCAACGGTTCGGTCAACTCCCGGTTCGATTCGGTGGTTCGATCTGGTCTGGGCGGTTCGGTTCGGTCCAGTCAAACCGGGCAGAGCTGATGAAGGAAGCAGGTCGCGGGTCTGGCGCGCGGACCCCGAGTCGGGTCGCAGGCTGACACGCGATCTTCGGGCTTAAAACGACGTCGTTTTGGGCCTTTAATGAAACGACGTCGTTTTGGGCCTTTAATGAAACGACGTCGTTTTAATTTTGGTAGTTTATATAAAAGGTTCAAATTTTTTTTTGGTCAGTTTTTCATTTTCCAGAAAAAAAAACTTTTTTTTCTTCTTCTTCTTCAGAGCACCGGTCGACCGTTGGTGCTGCCGCCGTCGATCGCCGGTCACCGACCGCCGTCTCCGGTGGTCAAAAAATTTCAAAATTCTCCCACAAGCTCTCTGATCCCCTGAGCGCAAATCTGACCTCTTTTTCACCAAAAGGAGTTTCAAAATTCCTAGATCTGCCTTCAAAGTTTCGGTTAAAAAATTTTTTTTTTTCTACGTTCTTTTTTTTTTTTTTTTTTTTTGAAGCTGACCTTTCTTTCTCTTCTTCATGCAGGAAGCTTGGCGCTGGGTTCCTCCCTACGGGGAGGACTGTGTTGATTTTTTTTTTTTGTATTTTTTTGTGCGGTTTTATTTTTTTTTTGTTGGTTTTTTGTTTGGGTATTTTTTGGGTGTTTGGGTTTGTGGGTAGATCGAATTTTTCGTTTCAGAATCAAAACTCTAACTGAAAATTTTTCGCTCCGAAACCCTCCTAAAAATTTTTTTTCCCTCCCCCTTCCTTTGAGTTTATGTGTTGATTTTATAGAGTTTCAATTAGGTGGGATTTGATTGGCTGTAGGGTGGCTGGAGGGTGGCTGGTCGGGAGGCTGGTCGGGAGTTGGCTGGACCAATTCGGTGCCGTACCAACCCCTTGACTTCTGTCTTATTTGCCTTTTTTAATTGTTTGCTTTTTTTTGTTTTTTTCTTGTTTATTAATAATGATTTCTTTATTAAAAATATTATTATTAAGAATAAAACGGTAGACCTGGACAAAATCGGTGTCTACATAAACCATTATTATTATTATTATTATTATTATTATTATTATTATTATTATTAAAATTATTATTATTAATAAGAATTAAAAATAATAGACTCGGATAAAATCGATGTCTATATCAAGCCATGAATGGTAAGAACAGACTGTTTTGCATCAAATTACTTAAGCACAATTAATGGAGCATAACTTACAATGCCCCATAGCCTTAATAACAGTATCCATGGCTTATTTACTCACGATACAATAAAGGCACCTGATATATCTAAGGCGTCATCCATTTAATTTCATCTCCGGTAAGCCTTCGCAAGAAAATGACTCACTTTTATTTAGTCTTCAATGTTGACTATTAGCTTTTGCAGAACTCTTCAATTGATGCTTTATTTCGTAGATACGCTTTGAAAATACACTTTTTTCGTACTTAAAATGACTTTTAACCCATACATATAATAATAGTACATATTTTATGAACTATTCTTTTCTATTTCGTCGACTCTGTTAAAACTGTTGATGCATGATTAATTGCTTGGGTTTCAATTTGTTAAAAAAAAAAAAAAAAAAAACTTTTAAGAACTAATGAACGAATTGTAAGATTAATTTGCCTTATCGGTGTCGGGATCGTTGATGAGGAGGACTTGAAAGGAATTCCCAAGATGATCCTCCGATACTCTCTTTTGTCCGTTCTAGGCTTTATAATCTCCGCATCTTCTCTCCCGACCGCCATCTTTTCAGTTCTGACGGATAAATGAGCAGTCCTGTCAGATTTTTTATGTTTGGTTTTAGAGAGTTGGAGAGATGAGTTTTTGGTTTGTGTTGGGGCCCGGTAGATGCTTCAATAAAGAGAGAAAGGAGACCATTCGTTAGAGGTGATAAGGGATTGGTTCGAATCGATTTGGTTCCGTTATTTAACTTGATGTATAGTATTTTAAATTTTAAAAAATTGATTGAAATTCAAGCAAATTTTTTTTAAAATGGAATAAAATTTTATGGGTTAATTCGGTTTGGTTTAATTTTATATTATTTTAATAAAATATATTTTATTTTATAAAATTTGAAATTTTTATAAAAATAATAAAAAATATTTTTATTCAATTTAAATATTTTCAATTTTTCATTTCATGATTTGAAAAATAATTTTGACTGAATTAAAATATTTAATATTAAATTCAAAATCAAACAAAATAAAAAAGTAATCCAAATCAAATTAAATACTATAATTTTAAATTAATTTTAATTTTCTTAATTTTTTTTTTGTAACCTTACCATTCTTTATTTTTTTTTGGTACTTATTTTGTTTTGTTGGCTTAAAAATAGGAAAGACTTAAAAATAAAATTTTTTAAGTGAAATTTGTGAAGTTTTTAACTAAAAAAATTAAATAAAAGTTAAAATCAAAAATTAAAATTAGTAGATTAAAAAGTCTAGTTACATAAATCAATTGTGTAAATTTTGACAACATTTTAATAAATTTTGATATATATTTTAAAATAAATCTTTTAGTAAAAATATTGATAAAATTTTTATTATTAAATAAATATCAATCAAATTTAAATTATAAATAATATTTTTAATATTTTTTACATATTATTGATTTTTAAATTAAATTCTATCAATCTATATATTTAAATTTTTTTATTAAAAATTTTTTTAAATCATTTTTTTTTTAAAAATCATAAATTTTAAAAAATTTCATGTTAATTTTTTCCGAATTTATTATCCTTCCGTGTAGTTGCGTTCCAACTTTCTTTTTCTTCAATTATTTTATTTTGACCTCTTAAACTTTGTGTTGTGTTAAAATTAGACTTTCAAAAACTAATTCTCTAATATTTGACAATAATTTATATTTAAAAATATAAAATTTTAAGAGTAGATTTCGTTTAAATTTATTACATAATTTTGAGAATGAAATGCTTATATTATATAAGTTAGTAATTAATCATGATTCAATATATTTATATGTTGGGTTTTGTACAAACTCAATGTCTTAAAATGCCAAACAATACACTTTAATTTTGTAAATCTACTCCATTGTGACGAATCATACATATATATATATATATATGTATATGTATGTATATATATGGATCATTGATGATAAAATATCATACAAAATTAAATAAAGGAAATTGAAATTATAACGGAGTTGTATACTATCATTTTTACAAGCCTAATTACATCCATTTTATTAGTGAAGAAGAATCTTATAAAAAAAAAAGAAAAAAAAAATACATAAATCGACAATAAAGAGAAATAAGAGAGGGAATACATCCAACAACTGGATAAAGCTCTATTTAATGTGGCGTTTTGAACACTAGTCTTCCAATTAGACAAAGCTTACCGACTGAGGAGAAGGGTGTCGGCTGGCTGCTACTCCATATCAGCCCCTTTTCTTTAATTTTTTTACAGCTTCATGTGGATAAAGCTTCCTTTAGACGAACCGTAATGAGGTTGTGAAGTTCTAAAATTCAGGATATCATGGATGCGAACGTACTGCAGTTGAAGTGGTTCATTTTTCTCTGATTTGTATTCTGTTAGATGTTTCTTCCCGTAGATTCGCACACTTAGAGTCTTCTTTCGGGGTGAACCAACTTTTATATATTCATCAAAAAAATCTATGAATTCCTGTTGTGTAAGCTGTCTTAATATTTCAACCTGTAGCTCAAAATACAAATACAGATGGTAAAACACAAACTAATAATAACTATCAAAAGAGTTGCTGGCTTTAAATACTAATAATAATAATAAAAGAGGTACATACCTGGGCTTCTTTCCTATCAAACTTGAGGGTGCCACTGACGATCTCCCACCAGTAATAACTAGATTCTTCCCATAAGTTTTTGTGCTTCTCCATATACGTATCAATCAATGCATTTACATTACTCTATACAACAACTTCAACAGTTAGTAATTAATCTAAAATCATCAAAATTTGAGAGAAATATTGATGCATTAATCAATGTTTCATTTACTTGTAATTTGTTTTCTACTTTTTTTAAGTCAAATTTCATTAATAATGGGAGTGAGATACACACTCATAATAGGAGACAAAATTTCAAAACAGTTCAACACAAAAAAACCAGAACAACATCAACTGAAACTCAAACGCCAAGATTGCCAGCTGCCACTAGGGCACTGCTGTAGCAAAGAAAAGCGCCAACAGCTAATGCATCAGAATTACACTCAGAACCACCATTGGCCAATGCATCTGCCATCCCATTTGATTCCGAATCAAGCATCACAACCTCTAACATCGTGTTGGACAGTTCATAGCATAACTCAAATTTCTACGAAACAGTCGACCAATAAATAAACACCCAATTGGCCAAAGAAGTTTCCAAGCCATTTACAACACTAGACCATTTCCAAACATCGACCACGCCAAAAAAGGAATTCATCACATATACATTCCAAAGGTTCATCCTCCACTTTCTTCACCCATTTAACAACAAATATGAAGTCCAAATCCACAATCAGCCCAAACTTTCCTCTTCCATTTAAACTCAAGAGCCAAAAAAACAAATCTCTATTGGAAATAATCTATAATCCTCAATATTAGCTTCAGCCACCCAAACTAAAATCCATATAACTCACTTATAATAATCCAATCACAACCAAAACTCCACCAATCTAACTCGTATCTATACCTCAAAGACTAAAAAAAAGTAATCCAATGAACGTCCAAATAGAAAGCAACAGGTGAAAAGCAAAACTCACAAACCAAGCAAATGAAATACAAATAGATGAACAGAAAACAGAGTGTTCGAATTTTAGGAATAAACCAAAAAAAAAAAGAGAATGATTTTCCTTCATATTTATGCAAAGATTTTATATGAATTGGTTTTACTTTTAAATATTAATTTAATTTACTTCGCAATTGTAAAAATACCATAATTTAAAAAGAGAAAGATTAAGAAATATAATAAAAACAGATGATCAAACATGATTGCAAAACCAAAAATAAGAACACATTTAAGTGTACTCCTGATCAACAATATTCAGGTATTTTCATTTACTAGATATTGGCATGACGCAAGACTTTTAAGATATCAGAAAACAAAATAAAAACCTGTTTTTTTTTTTTTTTTTTTTTTTTTTCTGATAAAAGATATTATTAGCTCAAACTTCTATGATGTAGGCTAAATTGTGCGTTAGACCTTTGTTATACAGGCTAAAAACATAGCTATTACTAATATTAGTAAAAAGCCAAATAATCATAATGTGCAAATAAATTTTCCACCTTACCTTAAATTCATCGCTGGTCATTTCATAAATTTTATTCTCAAACTTCTTGAGGAATTCCTCCACTCTCAAATCAATCTCTCTTGGACTCTGTTAAAAATGCCCAAACTCTTTAGAAGATGAAGTAAACAAAGCAATATATGTTAGGCAATAAGTTAATTGATTACAAGGGTCCCCCTTCATTTGTTTCTTTGCTTGATAGGACAGCAAAGTGAGAAGATGAAAATGAGTAAGGGGAAATGTGGAATGAAAATAATTTTCATTAATGTTCCGTAAGAGAAAAAAAAAAAGGAAAGAAAATAAGAAAATAATTATTTTTCACTTTTATTAAAATAACAAATAATTCGAAATTAAAAAGATAAGAGGAGAGAAAATGAAAAAAGTGTGAATAATTGTTCATATTTACAATATTATCTATCATTCTTTTTATTTTGCTTTTTAATGTGGTTTTGTTTTGTTTTTTATTTATTTATTTTCTTTTAATTTTTACATATTTCTATTGTTTTTAGATAATTCAATTTTTTCATATTTCCTATCAAAAACATTAATGAAAAAAAATGTTTTTCCATATTTTCACTTTTCTCTTCTCATTTTTTTATCTTTTCATTTTTCTATCTAACTATCAATTAAAACGTGCAACAATAGTTAACTTAGATAGAAAAATACAGATTATTGGACAAAAAGGAATTTGAATTTCTATACATTGTGAATAGAGTTTTTAAATTTTGTACTTAGAATGTTGCCACATCCCATTATTTTTTATAGCATGAATTTAGTTTTTTAAAAAGTATATCATTGTTGGTGGATTTTTTTAATTCCAACAATGGAATTAGATGGTTTCCACATATACCTTTAAGGTATATTATTGAGAATTAAAATTATTAAGATAATTAAAAAATACATATGATAATTTTTTAATTCCACTCATAAAATTTAAAAACTTTATATTTGTATAGAAAACAAATTTTTTATTTTTTAAATATATCTTAATATCTTAGACAAACATTTTCAAACTCAAGTTTAACTTGATTCATTCGAAATATTATTTAATTAAAAAATTAAATTTTAAAATATTAAAATATTTTTATTTAAATATATTTTAAAATCTTCAAACCTTTAAAACCCGACGAGCGGTATTGGACTGGACTTTTACAAAATCGATTGGGTATGACTCGATCTAAATCATGTAGAAATCTACATTCTAATATTGTTGATGAAGATTTTAAACTCCACTTTTCATTGTGTACAGTTTTTACTGTGTACTCGAAGTCATTTGTATCAAAAATCAGAATTGAAAAGAAACCACATTGCGTACCTTCACTGTCGACTGAATGAGGAATACCACTCCGTGAATTCCAAAATCATTTCTAATTATAATAGGAGAAAATTAGTAAAACAAAAAATATGCTTCCCTGCTTATCAAATTGAATATCCATGTATTTTTTTTTATATATCCTAAAATTATATGCTTTTTTTTTCCTTTTTTTATGTGCATATAACTTCATTACTTTTTATTGTATATTAACTTTTATTTTTATGCTTTCTCTTTTCGATAATAGTAACTATTGAACAACACTAGTGTAAAAAATATAAACTTTTAATATAGTGAAACAAAAACATTAACGTCAAATCAAGAGTATATATAGCATTCATGTATATAATAAGTTTTTTCTTATACCTTAAATAGAAGTCATTAATGTACCCAAGTTGCTCAACTGATCTAAGCTGATGATAGGCTGCTTCCTTTGCAATAAGGCGAAAAAGCCGAAGTTTTACGTTCAATACAAAATCATCTCGATGAACCTATAATATTCAAACACATTAGAATTGCATAAAAAAATCAGATCAAAATGTAACCTTAATTATCTTAGAATAACAAAAGCACTTATATGATAGGAGATTGAATAAGAGTAATGAGGGTATGGAAGGGTGAAGATAATGATTTAATAATATATTCTAACACAAATATTGTAACGTTGCATTTTATATACCAGAATTTGGTATACCCACTATATGAGTTTTTTTTTTTTTTTTTTAATAAAGTTTGAAAAGAGAAGTTACTTGGGTAATTTTTTTTTATGTAGAATTGATGATTTTTTAAATTTTATATATTTTGTACAGATATAAAGAAACATAAATATCTATGTTATATGTTTCTTTTAATTTGAGATAAAACACACCACTTGTTAAAATCGTGATAATTGTAACAAACATAAAATCTTATATAACTCATACTCACACACCCTAACTCTCCCATATTTAAAATATTTATGTCTTGTCTCATATATAGCATTATTCAATGAAGAAAGTAATATATATATATATATATATATGAGGAGAAATTCACTTACATTAATATAACTTTTACATTTTTTTGACCATTGAATCAAAATTAGTAAATTTAAAAATATTATTTTGATTCAAATGAATCACTAATTTAATTTTTATCCAAAAATCCAAAAAAAAGCATGAGTTACATAAATACAACTGGATCCTTACTTTATATATATATATATATATATATTTATATACGTGTGCTTTAAATAAATTGAGTAAGTAAAAAAGTGTCAAAGTAATCATCCCTAAGAACTAAAGTTGCTTGAAGCTAAATTGCAACTACGAGAGCTAAAAATAAAGTGGCATAGGAAATGTTAAACTTTTGATTTCGGCGGCAAAATAATGGATTAAATTAATTAACTTGAATTCTATTAAGATGTTCGATCTCAGAGCAGTTTCAAGCTGCAATTCTTCCAAAATATTTATTATTTAACCATAACTTATAAAGAAGCATTGATGCACACATTTCAGAAGGGGATCATCCATGACAAACTCAAACATTTTTAGTTCTCCAAAATACACATATAATTACCTGAATATAATGAAGCAGGGCGGAATTCTCATTGATTGGATTCAGGTCTTCTTCAGAGTATAAATAATTCATGCCTCTTTGAAGTTTAACAACTTCATTAGTGAGATGTAAGGATGGAAAGAATGGTTGGCATATAGGGTTTGAACCCTTAAAGAATATGTCTTCAATAGTTTCAATTATTGAAGTCGCTTCCTCACATTTCATATTTCCTAATTAAAAAGAAAAAAAATTAATATGTAAAAACCAACATTAATTAATGTGATTGATTCATTTGATCAATGTTTTTACAATCTTTTTTTAAAATTTTTTTTTACTTTTTGAAAAAAATGCTATAAAGCAAAAAAAAAAAAGGTAAAAAGTAATACCATAATTAATTTATAATGGTTAGTTTATATAGCAGTACAATTAATAATAAAAAATATATATTTTCTGTAAAAACCTTCAAGTTTTTTTCTTTTTTGCTTTTGTATGCAAATAATATTTTTTTTCAGTTACAAAAAGTATAATAGTAAAATGTCAACCAAATAAAGACTTGGTGTAGGCACATCTCTTAATTAAACCAAATGTCAACCATATTTAAGCTTATGTATCAGGTAGCTAGGGTTTGATAGATAAGAGATTATCTTGATTTGATTGTAACTTTTTTTTTAAAGAGGTGTTTAATTAGTAATGTAGACAACTCAATCCCACTGGAGGTCTATTAAGATAATTTTGATAATTAGAAAATAAAATAAAAATAATAAAAATAAAAAATAGAAAAAGTGGTTGAATTTGTGTAAGATTGGGTTAGAGAGTTTGAGATGGATTGAAAGAGGTTGAATGGGGTTAAAGTTCGAAGGAAATTGAGGTTTCTATTTAGATTTGGATTTTGTGATTTGAAAATCCTATAAATACTAGACCTATATCACATAGAATACACAAAAAACAGAAGCAAGAAAAAAAAAAAAGGTGTTTAGAAGTGTAGAAGCAAGCTTAGAAATTTTAAGATATTTTTTTTGAAAATTTTGGGCAATTTTTTCCTGGAAAGTTTTTGAAAAATTTTCAGATTCCGATAAATTTTTTAGCGAAATTCATTTTTTTCGGCGGAATTTTCTAGTTTTCGATGATTTTTTCTAATTTTTGGTGCAATATTCAATTGGATTTCTAGGTTGGTAGAGAGAGAGAGAAAAAGAAAGAGGAGAGAGAAGGGGAGGGAAAATCTGAAGGGAAAAACGAAAACCTTTGCCTTTTATATTGCCCAAAAATGACATCATTTTGACGTTTAAAAGAATCCAAGATTCGTGTAATTTGTCAATGGGTGATCTAACCCGAGTGCTAACCTGCTTTTTGACCCGTGGTCCGATCCTAAGCTCTAGCCGAGCTGAGCCACACTAAGCCGCCAAGCCGCATCCTCCCAAGCCACATTTTGTGCCTTAAGTCGCGTCGTTTCGCGGCCATCGAGCCAAACCATTTCGTTTTTTGGTATTTTTTGATATTATTTATTTATGTGTTTGTTTTGTTTTCTTAGTATTTTTACATGAACAAATTTTGGAAAAAATAAAAAATATATAAAAAATAAAAACTTTTTTGAAAAAGAGTATTAAATATCTAATGATGGAATTTTAGACATTTCAAATAGTGAGTTTGTATAAAATTCCTAGATAGAAAATTTTGTCTAAATTTGTCCCAAATGGTGAAATGATTTAGATAAAATTTTAATAACAATAATTAATATTTATTTTCAAATAGAAAAAGAAAAAAATAAAATTTTTTGGTTGAAAATATTTGACAATTATCCAATGATGAGAATCTTAGAAATTTCAAATGGTAAATTCCTAAAAAATCTCTAGGTGAGAAATTTTTTTTAATTTATCTCACATAGTGAAAGAATTTAAATGAAATTTCAATGAAAAATAATTGTCATATTGTTTTCTTTCTAAAAATAAAAACAAAAAAAAAGAAGAAGAAAGAAAAAAAATTTCTAAATAGGCTCAAATGGTGAAGAATTTAGAAATTCAAAAAAAAATTCTAAATTGACCCAAATGGTGAAAAATTTAGAAATCTAAGAAAAAATAAAAAGAATTTCTAAATAGGCCTAAATGGTGGAGAATTTAGAAATTTCAAAAAAGAAAATATTTCTAATTTGGCATAAATAGTGGAATAATTAGATATATTTTCAATAAAAATAAGACTAAAAAAAATCTTTTCGACGACGGAGTCTCTTCAAGAAATCAAATGAGATTTTTGAATACTCTTGAGGTGAAAAAATATTTTTAAGAATTTTACCAGATTGATGGAGAGTCTTAAGAATTATTTTCAATATTTGAACATTAAATTTTAAGACCATTAAAACCAAGACCCTATGATAAATTTAAAATAAAATGGTACCATCATTCGGATGGACATGTGGGGGTGCTATAACCTTTCTTATATATAATCGAACTCCTAAACCCTGTTCTGGTTTATAGACCTAAACTTATTCTTTTAGGGACTCTTAGTCAAGCTTAAGAGTTCCTTAAAAAGATAGATTCCCTAGGTGACCAATTATACCTAGATAAAAAAGATTGGTGGCAACTCTATTTATTAAGTCTAGCTATAAATTTTTGGATCTATATGTTATGACAGTTTGACGACTCTGTTGGGGATGCTATAGAGTGTCAGGCTATAACATTTTAAGTTTATCCTATCCTTTGATCTAATGGTTTTAAATTGTAATTATTTATGTACTAACGCTTTTTTCTTTTTGTCTTGTATTTTATTTATGGAGTTGATAATTATATGTTCCTTCACACACACTATCACATGCATTACAATACATGAGCTCTATACCTGGGCTCTGTCCCTCTTAGGAGAAAGTAAAGTCCTACGCTCTTATGAGATGATAATCTCTATAATTGCTAGCGAAATACTCCTATTCAAATTGAATCCTTTTCATTGGTAGCCTGTGATGGATGAGGATTGGACTGGCTTATTAGTTTGTGATGGACAATGATAAAATGATATAAGGAACAATTTGAGAACCTTTAGTGGTCAAAGTCACCTAACCTTGCATATAGTTTGCACTTAAGAGACTAGCCTTAAGATAGAGCTATTCCCACATGTTGATAGATATAACTTAGAATTAGGACACAAGAAGGAATAATTTTTATATTGCTTATCTAACCATTTTGTTTGTTTGATTTTGTGCAACTGCATCATTTTCATATCATTTCATTCTATGGATCATTTTCATTGTCATATTTAATATTAGCATTTGCATCATTCTCATATAGGGAATATTTGTCACATATCAGTTATTGATAAACCAGATCTCACACTTACATCCATGGAAAGTCAAATGCAATCAAAGCTTATATCAGTTCATCATGAATCTGCTTATCAATTGAAAATCAAGTCCAAAGAAGGTAAAAAAAAAAAAAGAAAATTGCTTGCCTAAAGGTTTTATCTCTTTATTGCCCGAGAGAGTTTATCTCGATCTCTAACAAAATGACTTGGCTGACCTAAGCAGTGTCTGAGGATGCATGAGTAGAATAAGGTAGGAGGCATTTGGGAGCAAATATGAGGGCATAGCTTCAGTGCTCTAAGTGGATGTGGACAATAATCTGATTAGAGTTATCATTCAGTTTTGGGATCCTTCTTACAGGTGTTTCATCTTCAATGAGCAGACATGATGCCCATAATTGAAGAGTACATAGTTTTATTTCACTTTGATTTGCCAAACCCGAACAAGATTTACTGGTCAAATAAGGTGGGCTGTAAAAAAAAACTAATGCAAATGCTTGGACTTCGTTCGTCTCAAGTTGATGCATGTATCAAAACAAAAGGTGAAAGTAAGGCTATCCCATAAAGGTTTCTGTGAGACTTCATTCAAGGGCATTTGGATGATGATCACAGGTTAGTGGCAATGGCTGTAGCTCTATATGGACTGGAGATCTTCCTAAAAGTCATCGGGGTATATTGATGTCGCAGTGATAGACTTCGTCAATCAGTTAGCATACCAAATCAATGCAGCACCAACCATTTTAGCAAAAACCATTTGTTCTTTGAATTTTTATCGTCAAAATGGTAAGGGTTGGTTTAATTGTGGTTACAGTAACTTTATGTATAGATAAAGGTCACATGGAGTGTGAAAAAGCCAGTTTCGTAAACATACCTACATTTCAATGCCTTAATCAAGGAGTTTTGTTATAGTATATGGCTAAACAAGGTCAAAAGAAGAATGGGCTTCATACTTTTGGTCCTTGATAGTCAAAGAATAGTTTGAAGAGCACATTAGATGCGTTACGACACAATATTGTATAGTTGTAGAAATCAACCATAGGTGTTTCTATTAGGCTTATGGGGCGCTATTACTTATGCTCCAACTTTGGTGAGAAGACAATTCGGATGTGAGCAATTCATTCCAGAAACCTATAGACTTAACCAGTAAAAGTTCTCTTTCAATGATAAAGGGGCATATGAAATGATTGAAAAAATAAAAAAAGTATGGAAGTAAACCATCCGAGTTAATCAAAGGAGGCTTACTTATGACGTTACCTTAGAATATAGTGTGGCATGCAAGGAGGGGTAAAGACATTATGCTTCATCAAGAACAAATATTTGGCCATTCCTTAAAGCCCATTTTTCAAGATCTTTTGCTTAAAATAGAAACAACCAAAAGAAAACTCCAAACCGAGAAAGATAAGCTCGAATAAGAAAATAAATGATTGAAGTTAGAAATGGAAGAAAGTTTAAGGCTCCAAGAACTGAAAATCCAAAGCCTTACAGAGTAAAAAGATAAGTGGAAAGCCTTGTTCAATGATCTAGTTATGACACATTCGTCGGTTACACCCGAGCTTGTTTGACTTTTAAAAGAAAATAAATTATTGAAAGCAAGGGTGGAAGAATGACAAAAGGCCACCGCTAGGGCATATAAACATAGCCAGATGCTACAAAATATAGTAGATAGGTGCATAGCACAAGTAAAAACCTTGTCTGATGAATGCAGAAGACAAGCTAAACAGTGTGAGCTATGGAAAGACATGTACACAGAAAAATAAAAACATCTAAGGCATTTGTTAGATCAGCTATGCATTGCTGTCGATAAAACGTCAAAATGGAAAAAAAAGTGAAAAATTTGAATTCCTAGATGAGGCACAAAATCATTACTAGCAAGCTAGGAAATTTATAAAAAGGCATTAGAAATAAAAGATGATGCTTAGGACTTTAGAATATTGCTTTGGCTTTATTA